GCTCGCATGACTGAATGCGAGTTAGAGTTTTTATGTTACTTTAACTTTTTTCTCATTTTCTCACATTTCAGCCATAAACTTGCGTATTTATGTCTTTAGATGAATCAACACAAAGTACTTAAATTAACTAAAGATTTTATTCCAACTCTTGGTGTTTATCAAGCTGCTTAAGTCCAACTCACCCTGGATTAAAATGTATTTTAAGTAGAGTTGCCGTTATACCGCAATCATAAAAGGAAAAATACTCAATGCTGTTTTCAAACACCACAGTCAATAAAAGTCTCAAAAGTCAATAAAATGACTTTTGAGTCATTTTATTTCATTTATATCTGTAGTGTCTGCTTCCATTTGCCTGCCAATTAAAATAAATTCTATTATTGATGGTCAAATAAAGGATCACTTCATACTAAACTGGCATGTATTTCAAAACACAGTTCTGGACCGTGTCATCTGTCTTTCTGGTATTTTAGCTAAATATTTTTATTTTCTGGTCAACTACATTAGCAGGGTACGTTGCACTAGTTTGCTTTGCTGGTTCAAAAGACTGACTCCTACATTCAGACTCAGTCCACAGAGTAGGATGAGGAGCTCTGTCATCCGGAGGAACTCAAAGTTACCCGAGCTGAAATCATCAGAGAGCTAAATTATTGAGTATGCAAATTGTTTATTTGGTTTAAACAAACAAAAGAACAGAGAGACTATATAAAGAAAATTACACTTAAAACAGAAACATGGTTTAGGTAACCTTGCACATGAAAGTCATTAAATTACTGATATGAGACAATAAATGTGTTTTTTATTGAATAAAAGTGAAACAAAGAAGACAAATAGCTGACTTTCAAAACAGAGCGTGTCGTTAAGGAAGCAGTGAAGTCAAACTGGAGTCAGGTTTCCAACCCGATGCTGGTTGAATGTAAAAACTTCAACATAAAATTTAAGGATGGTTTAAAAGAAAAGAATTCAAGCTGATTATCGTCTCAAAAAAACCCCCATTCAGTCCACTGGTCTTGGAGCAAGTCAGAAAATCATCTCAATAAATTACATCATCACTGAAAAGGTAATTTAATTCAGTAATTTAATTAATTTGGGCGATTATGGCCTACAGCTAATGAGAACCACTAATTCCTCAGAAAAATTACACCCTCACTTAAGTACAACAGCATAAGAACCAGCAATCACCCCTGGATGTTCAAAGTCCTGTTATCAAGCATAATGATGGAAAGTTGAGTGGAAGGATAAAGTGTGATGAAAAAAGCAACCTGTGCCTCCATGCAACGTTGTATTGACGCAGTAGATAAAAAAGGAACCTTGATCAACTAACGAGCTTGCATATTGTAAAATACATAGATATAAATTTAAGTAGGTCAACATTTTTTAATTTAGTATTCCTTAATTTGATTTTTTACTGAAACACTTTTCTAACCTGAAATATTCATGCTTTTTCACATTTCTTTTGCATTCTGAAAATTTAAGCACAAAAAAATAAATAAATAAAAATTGAACCTTTTCAAGAATTTTCATTAGCCTGGGCTGATTATCTCTATATTTTACAAATCCTGAAACAACACACTTGATAAAGAGCTGTTCCCTGCTTTTGTTGCCATCTGGATTGGCTCAGATCAGCTCCGTTTCAATGCTTTGACACAGTTTGTAAACTTTTATACATTTGTCCTGTTTAAAAATGATTGTTTTTAAACAGAACAATTGTCTGACCCCGTAAATTCGTGCTCAGTTTAAACACCAGAGGTGCAGGATAAAACAATGATATTAAACTGGGCTAGAAGCCAAAAAAAAGACAAAAAACAAAATGACCCTTTAGGTTTCCTTAAAATGCATGAATCCATCTTTGAGATTTTAATATTGTTGGGTGAAAATTTTCCATAAAGTGAATGAAAGATAAAGCTATGTATATGTACATATAAATAACAAAAAAGGAATATGGAAATAGGAATCCTCTGCACTAACATTTTTTGTCTCGTGTATAATTAATGTTCCTAAAGAATGTTTTTTTTTTTTTAGCTGCAAGCCATAATCATCAAAATGTCACTGTTTGCAAAACACTACTTTCTGATTTAAATGAGCTTTTCATTGATATTCTTATTGACTGGGCTGCATGTATGATTAGGTACCTGCTCACAGTAGATTGTGTTGAAGCAAGCGTAGTGAGGCTACAGCAGGGAGCTCTTTAAGAGACAGAGGAAACCGATGATTCTCCAGGGCGAGGTGGCAGTGGGACGATGCTCCATGTTCAGGAGCGGTAGAGTAAGATCCTTTCCGCGCAGTCCTGACCAACCAAGCTGGCGTACTCCTGCACCTCTGCCGTGTCGCTGCGGCCCTTGAATTTGCAGCTGTACACTATGTAGGGCATGACGGTGCGCTTGTGCAGCACCAGCGCTCTGCCCACATCCTTGACCGCCTGAGAGTCTCCTAGACAAAAACAAAGCACGTATAAAAACAAAATCAGGACCACTGTGGACGCATCCAACCCCATAAACTTTGGTTTTTATTTTTCTCTGCTCATTTGAATTAACCTCTGAGTGCCTTGGCAAGGATGCCTCATTATTCCGAGAAGCTGTTGGAGGGAATCTAACTCCCCTGTGCCTTCAGGTTTGAGTCAGCGCGTGAGACGGATAGTTAGTTGGTGTTACTCACAGAGCCCGTGCCATTCACTGCCAGCTACCTTGTCTGCGTGTGTCCAGAAGCTACGAGTTGCTCTCTGGAGACTCGGATGGAAAAAAAGGTGAAAAATGTTGACCCTCAAACACTTAAACGACTGCCTCCAAGAGAGAGAGGCTGAGCCAAGCCGCTAACAGCTGGCGCCAAGAGGAGGGGGAGGAGGGCACAGCAGGGAGCGCCCGGCGAGCCAACCAAACTCAAATATACTCTGCAACAGGTAAGAAGAACGCATGCCAGTCTCAAAGTGCAGCACGAGCAGAAAACAGACTCATTTTCTTCTCTTATTCACTGGAACTGCTAAGCTACTTAAAACACACGACTCTTAAGATTTGCAATTCAACATCTGAAGTTCAGACCCGATGGTTTGGTCTATTAGAGCAAATAAGGAACGTCATCAGGTTAGTGAAGTCAAAACAAAGAGGAAAGTTTTTAATTTATGTAATTCAGAGTTTCACCGTTTAAACACTGGGTGGTGTAAAATAGAGGTGAAGACGATTATGAATGAATTTTAACTTGATTCACGACATACAATTTCAATGTAATTTATGTTGAACAGCACTTACAATTCTGTGTCTGTGAAAGGTGCTTTGTAAATAAACTTTAATTACTTAACTGCATTCATGCTTACATTAACTAACATACAAGTGTACTGCCTTTATTTATTGGTATCAGAGGGAAGAGGTTTATAAAATCCCTATTAATAATGTGAAACTTTGTGGTTATAATGTAGCTAAGCGAAAAAGGGTTGAATGGGTTGGAATACTTCCGCAAAGCACAGCAAGCTACCTTAAGGCAAGGAGAAATGTGTTTTTATCCTTTAGGTAGAGTTTAAAAACTCTCCTGGAAACTCATATTTTATTTATTAGCTGTGTTTCCCTGGAGTGCAGGGATACAGCTAACGATCCACTTCTTGAAAAAACTGCTGAGTCTGGAAATTGAAGAATGGTGGAGCAATGTGACGAAGAAAATCAGCGGTGCATTACGTTTCCTCACGAGGGATTTTAAAAGATGTTACGCAACTCCCCAGTCGCCAGTATGCTGGTCCATGAAGAATTAATGTAAGCTGAGGGGATGAGAGTGAAAATATTTAAATGTCTGATGCTTCCTAACTTAAACTCACCTCAGGCTAAGGGTGATTTGCCTCCCTATGTTTCTCGTCACAGTGACAGGACACTTTAACAGTAACCAGAGTTACACTCATTCGCTCAATGGAGATATTAAGAGGTGAAGACTTTGCAGAACACAGTGGGTAGCAGCGCGCGGCTTTCAGATGGTTCATTAACCGCAGCACTAACACTGAACAGAGGGGCCATCTCTCCCTCCTACTCCAGAAAAGCCAAACATCCGCTCCTCACATAAACAACTTTCCTTTTCTTCTTCGCTCGCTCCAACCTCCGCCTCACTTTGCTCCTCACTTTGAGCGGATCCAGATCCTGTTCCTGTTCCTGTCAGGCCAGCCGGACGTTCAGTGACACGCCGTTCTGAGGTCGCAGAGCCTTCGAGGCTAGAGTTCAAGGGTCAGGGGGAAGAGGAGTGTTGAGGGTCAGGGCTGAGGTTTGGGGCCCTGACACCTCGCCACGCTTCTCCTTCTCGTCCTTTCCATCCCCAAAGTTCTTAACACCGGATGAGGGTCAAAGAGCCATTGGGTTATGACCACTTCCTGTGACCTAATGTTGAAGATCCAAAATGGGACTTTCTTTTCAAAAGGAAAAGGCCACGATGGCAGTGTTGTGTATGAGAGGTCCATTATTTGACAGCGGAGGCCCAAAAGTTTGAATGCTGTTAGCAGCTGAAAGAAAAACTCTCAATCTGTTTTTGACCAAGAATGTTGACCTCACTTCTTTTAATTTTAAAGGATCTTATTGTCATTATTACTATGAAAATCAAGGCGAACTTGTGTTCAAAGCAGGAGAAGAGCAGTAGGAAACCATGGAAAACGATGAGATCTTGACATTTAAAACCAGCGCCATATTTATTGTCAAAGCAGAGTCTGTTTCATGACTTTCCAGCTGCTGCCAGCATGGGATTTCATCTACTAAAGTCTGCGTGATTATTTCAGCTCACATTTTAGTTGTCAGGCTAAAACAAGAACAACGTAAGACATTCACCTTGTTACAGAACAATGCCCACAGAGACACAGCCAGAATGGTTTAGATTAAATTCATGTGTTAGAATGTCGTAGTCAAAGTCCAGACCTAAATCTGACTGAAATTGGGGCAACTATTAAACATACAGTTTTACAGACATTCTCTATCTAAACATCTGGCAGACCTGCAGCTGTAGTTGTGGCTAAATGTGGTTCAACAAACATGAGGGCTGAAAAAAACAAACTACACCCTTTTCTTTCTTTTTCTTTTTTTGTCCATTTATCAAATAAAATCCAAATAAAGCACATACAAAAATTTGCGAAACATCCAAGAAAATATTCAAGGGGGATGAAAACCTTTGCAGGGCCCAGTAAGAGGGAAGCGAATCCATCAGCTCCCACTCAGACTGGGAACATTAGCACTCATCAGGCTAAGGAGCTGAAAGCACTGTGAGGCACAAGAGAGAGTGTCTGACTGATAGACAAGATATGGAATGCAATAAGCCAGAAATATAGTAGAGAAGTCAGGAGGCAGAAGAAAGAGAAGTGGGTGACATCAGGTAGGTGTCATTTACTGTAGGTAACACCAAAGTAGATCAGATTGTTGCTAACTGATATGTTTTACAATCAGGAACGTGAAAGGCACCAGCAGAATGTAAATGCACCATTTTGATGCATGAAATTACACAAATTGCCACTTATTGTTTGCGTTTCCCGTCTGGCACCTCCTAGTTGCATTTAAAGCCAAACAAAAGACAACACGCACATTTTCTCCCATGTTTATGCTGCTGAACAGCCAATGGCCCAGCTTCTCTCCCTGTCAAACAAACAATGATTGTGAGTGTGTGAGAGACGCTACATATGTGCTGTACATTTGGTCTACGTATGTGTGCACAGACTGATGTCCACTAGGGGTCACAGACACGGTGGGACACTCAATGTGTCAGCAACAGCCGGGCTCAGCGTTACTCCAACCGGACCACCAATAAAGTTCTGTGTGTTGTGTAAATGAAGAAGGCAGTGACTTGCAGTTCAGCCTAACTGATGGTGTGTTTTTTTTCTGCACAGAATGGAATAAGACAGTTCAGCAGCAGGAAAAACACCCAGCCGACATCGACTCACCTTCCTCCTTAACAGCCATGAGTGGAATCAAGCTTTCACCAGTATTTTGTGTTAAATGCCAATATAATTTTTTTTTTTTTACACAATTTGAAACATGACAAAACAAATATAAATAAAAGAAACAGACATCACCAACAGATCTCTGAGATTAACAATTGAAATGCAAAACAATTTGCATAAAGTGAAATTAAAATACACAAATACATAAAGTTCAGTAAAAAAAACAAAAAACAAAAACAAAAACAAGGGAATGAGTAATAACATACTTGCAGAGAATGGAATAAAACAGTTCAGCAGCAAGAAAAACATCCAGATGACATCAGCTCACCTGCCCATGACAAAGGAACCACGTAAAAAAACACTGACAGCGCTGGAAAGGCAAAGTCGGCTTGTTCACGCACCGGCTGCAACAGTAAGGCCTAACGCTCCATAAAATCATCCTGTTTGCTGCTGACATCTATATAGAAACCAAAACTAACATCTTAACAAAATGCTAGCAGACAGACAGTACATTTCGTCCTCTATAACAACTTTCAGGAAGTAAATTAACAGCAGCTCAATGAGAAACTCCATAATAGCCACAAACGGAATGGGGAAGACGGAAACAATGTTAATAATAGTTTCAAGATAAAAAGAAAGACAATAAAATTAGAAAATAAAGAAATAAAAATAGAAAAATAAAATTAACAAATAAGGGATTTTTGGTGGAATAACATGTTTTATTTTAGTCAATGGAATGGGAGAGTTATGTGAACTTTAGCCATCTTTAAACACCTCATTAGGACAGCAGTTTCTTGCTTTAATAACTTTAATAACTTGGGGTCTATTTCTTTACTTTACTTTACTTTTCTGTTACTGGGTAAAATAAAAGGAGTTTGCAAAGAATAAAATAAGTGCCACCATGTTTTCAGGAAAAATGCACTGTGAACTAATGGGACAAGAGTGTGTTGGTTGGAAACTGACAGCTTTTCAGAACCGGAATATCAAACTGATAGTCAGACATAGAAGTGGTAATTTGGTCCCTGGATGCTTTATAGGACCGACTTGCTGTTGCTTCTGTTCTGTAGCAGAAAAACCTGAACAACAATCACTGAACAGGAGCTCCTTAAGCTCAAGCTCACTTGCATTAATGATCCAAACCCAAAATGAATGTTTTGGAGTGGCCTAATTGAAGTTTGGATTTAACCATATAACGATGCTGTGGCATGACCTAAAACAGCCCTTTCATGCTCAATAGCTATTCTCAATTAAAACCATTCTGCAAAGAAGAGAGAGCCAAAATTACTTAACAGTGACTTAAAAGTCACTGATATTTTTTTTTAGCAAACTCTCAATGGTAGTAGTAGTTACCAAGTGTGGTTCACCCCGATACTTCACACATAAGTACAGGTTGGTTTAGAATGCTTTTATCACATATGCAACAAAAACAACATTTGGAAACGTTTTGCATGCACTCAGGTTATCTTTGTTTGGTGTTAGAATCTGTTTAATGACTTGAAAAATTTCAGTACAGCTAATAAAAGCAAACATAGGAAATGTTTCTCAAAGCAGTCTCAATATGAATGAGTGTTTTCTTTCTGCCGGTGCCAGTAAACAGCTCCTAGCACTACTTGCTGTCACTTCCTTCACTAAAATAATACAACTGTGATTGTGTCCTTTACCGTTTACTATGTGTATCCGACCCAATCTCTTTCACAATTGTCTTCTTGTCTCCACATGTTTACTTTTACTCCTGACTGGTGGCTCTTTCCTGTTTGACACATATTTTGTTATTTGGATTAATAAGGAGAGGGAAACAAGAGTTACATGCTTGCTTCTCCACAATTTACATTCACAGAAACAATCTTTTGCCATTTCCAATAACTATTTATTTAATGCAGACTTCATGTCATTCTAAAAGTGCACTGTCAAACTGACTGCACAAATTAAAGCAGAAAACAGAAGATGAATTTGTCTTATGTGAAGACATAAGAAGATAGAAGATGTGTGTCTAACTTGCTGAGGTCTGCCAAAAAAGGAGCATCAGTGGCTTGGTAGGCTGCTAATTTTAAAATAATACTGAACAAATGTAGAATAGGACTGACTCAGTTACTTATAGTACTAAATACCTTCAAGAAAAAGCTGTACCTGCATCAGGGTCCTGATTTAATCGAGCATAGCGGGAGTTGTTGAGCAGCGGTATGCATTGCTCCACAGAAACCCAAGTGTAGGATTCTGGGCAGAGGAGGTCAGCGGGCCGGTACTGTCCCTGAGAAATAAAAAAAAGACAAAGATCCAACGTCAACATGCTGTTGTACCCGCACACTTTCCTTCCGAAATTTCTGAGAAAGATTTTTGACCATTTCTACGTATTTATATAAATTTTTAAAATGGAAACTGAAAGATGACGGATGGTAGAGGAGGACACATGGACTGATGGCAAGATAGAGAGGTGAATGAATGAACATTATCAAAACTTGTCTGGCTGTCCGTGATGGACGGATAGAATGGAGAGGTGGATGGGTTGGTAGTCGGATGGACAGAATGGATAAACAAGTGGAAGAGTAGATAGATGGATGGATGAATGAACAATGAAGGTATGAACAGACAAATAGAGATATGAATGGATGACCAAATGGATGGTTATAGCATAGTTTTGTGTAAAGAGATAAACTCCGGGCCTTATATGGTAAATCCCAGTAATGTGTGCTTTGTTTTCATAACAGCAGCTTAATAATAATCCATGACTGAAGGAACTTGTTTTTCAGACATCCATAATTTAGACAAAAGAACAAGAAATACCTTATTATAGTCTTAACTACATCTCTACACCTGAGAAAATCTTAAATGAAATTACACATTTTTTCCAGACATTTTAAGACCATTTTGACTAGCAGAAAGAAAAAAAAAAATCACATTTAAATCAGCAACATTTTTAACGTGCCACATTTTAGTGAGTGCAAAGACATCCTGTTTTTAAATAATTACATAAAAAGTACTAAACAACTCTTGACTGCTGAGCATCATTAGCTGAGAGACACTTGGTCAAAGTTAGACAAACCTTTGTTACAACACTGATAAGACCATTTATACAAACTCTAGTGATGACCCTTCACAACTCGAGGCTTGACACGTTGTAAACTGACCCCAGGGTCGAGGTGAAGACTGAGCTGTGGCTCAAATTCCCTTCTCTGAAGGGAGAAGCGGGCCGGTACTGTTCCCTGTTATATCTACCCTTCTCTCTGACTGGAGTTTTGTCTGCAAAGTTGAGCGGGAAACATAAACATACAAGCTTATTCTTATGTGTGCTTGCTAAATGGATGCAAGTCTGTATTTGACCTAACATTTTGGATGGAAAGTAAATCAAGCAGAACAAAAGCAGCTGCAAAGTGTAAGGGGGGGAGGGTGAAGGGGTTGAACGGACAGAAACGAGGCACAGGAGGGTCTATTAGACTCCATTATCAGAGACCTGCGTTCTATCACACGGCTCCAAACAAATACAAACTGCAGAAAGAGCTCTGTAAACAAGCTGGCGCCTGCAACAGGCCTGCTGTGCTGCCTCAACACACACGATATTTGGAGTTTATATATGACGGCACACTGTAGGACAAAGACTCGAGCGTTCCTGGAGTTTCATACACAGCTGAGGTCAGAAAGTGCTGAATAAGTAAACACAAAATACAGTAATCGAAATGAACTGTAAATAATAGAGACAAAGGAAATACCACCAATGGAAATAATATAAACAAACCCTTCTTATTGTGACCGATTTGTCAGAGGGGAGAGAATAAGCTGCCTGTTTTCACTTGCAACGAATTAAGCCTCTTACAGGATGGAAAGGTTAACAGAAAAGTCAACTTTTTTGGAATACAGTTTTCCAACAAACTGGCACCATGTGATGTAATGTTCCAGGCACTATCCAACTGATCTAACCAATCTCCTGTATAAAAACTGGATCTCTTTTTTTCCCAAAAGGTGCTAGAAGTAAGGAGCGGCATCGATTTCCTTAAAATTGGCTGAAAACTGTAAAACCAATCACATCTCCCCATCTTATCTATCTCCACATACTGTCCTCTAGATAAAAAAAAAATAAATAAAAAAATGGTATTTGCAGTACAGCCGGTCAGCGCAACCCTACATGAAACCTCTGCTGTGAATCGGCACTAAATAAACAAAGTAAATAGAATCAAACAATCATATATTTTTAATCACCATTTAAAATTATGCTTACAGTAGAAAATAGATAAAAATATGACCATAGCAGCTTCTGTGGATTCCTCTCTGCATCACACACCTACCTATGAGGAAACAACATTACAGTGCACCAGATAGCAGATGAAAGAAGTCAGAAAAAGAAGAAATTCTCACTCAAGTAAAATAAGAAATAACTTGTTTAAGTGCCTTTGCTAACAGACAAATGACAAATGGCATCTACAACAGACACACACACTCATCTAGTCCCAACAAGCTCCAGGCTCTTATACAACTGTCAGCATTATTACCCTGACACTCTCACACTCTGCCTCCTTTCTATAGATTCCTTCAACACAAGGAGACATACCTCTATACGGAGAACCCGCACCTGGCAGCATGTAGAAACACAATGAGACACACGGTTCCTGCTACAAGTGACTACAACTCTGCAAAAGCGAAATAGAAACAGGAAAGGGTTACAGGAGAAACTACAAAGATGTGATGGGAACAGAGATAGCCTTTACAAGAAAATAATGGGAAAAAAGTACAGAATCAGGCTAGCTCTTAACATCCCACAGATGTGTTGTTTTTGTTTGTTTACTCTAACCTACTTGTGTCAATGTGTTTCTACAATAGATAAAAAAGTCTTTCTGATTTTTACAGGCCTATACTTTCTGTTTATTGCATGAGGTTTTGAGAAAAAAGCTGGACCAAACCAAAATGATACACAGAGTCTGATTATGGCACAATTCCTCAATCCTCACTTGAAAGGAGACAAGATGCACAGAGTGAAATGACCCATCTTTTAGTGGTCTGGAAAGTTGACTGCAAACATTGGGAAAAAAACAACAACAATGTACTACCTCTGTATTTGTGAGGCGCTTCGCTGTATTGCACTCTCAAATCTTGCTTTCCAAATTTGGCATGAAGACCTTGTAATTCACACATGCCCCACTGCTTCCATGGATGATGCATGATGACAGAGCTCTGCACACACAAGTCTTTCTTAAGCCAGTGTAATGGCAAAGACATCACACTCGAGTTGAATATGCTCCAGAGATTTGCTTATTGTTGTGGTAACTACTATGAAAAATAATATATTTCGTATATTCTATTGTTACAAACACTAAAAGTCTGCAAAAAAGATTGTATCTATGTATGTTTCTATTTTAAAGGGGAAAAAGTGTCATAATTTAACTCTTTAGTTCTGCAACTTTGCTATTCTTTGAAACTTTGGTAGCCACATTGGATAATGAAGTCAGATGGCTTAAGTATCTAAATATTTAAAAGCTAAAATACCTTCAGCAAGTTCTACATTTGATTTTCTGTGTTTGAAAACTGGAAATTAAACCTTTAGGGTGTAAATCTAACACACCTTAACAGCTGATAGTGAAGAGACTTATCACTGCAAATGCTATAACTGAGTGTATGCGAAATCAAACAAAAGTTTAAGTCCCTAAAAATTATAGAAGGACTCCCTTTCTATGAATAAGAAGATAACCTGCAGTGTAACTGTATTCATAAGAGTAACCTTCAGGATTGTTTCAGGCCAGAATAAAGTTTTATGGGTTTCTCTGTCTTTCCTGATGAAATTTCCCCAAACAGCCCAATCTATCACAGACTCTCCATTCTTTGTTAAATTTTAACAAAATTTAAATTTCTTAATTTAAATGAAAATTGAGAACAACAAACATTTGTAAAAAGAGAATGTTATATTGTCTTCTATGGGATATTGATATATGCGCAAATATGATGCAAAAAAAAAAATTACAGTTTCCAATCTGAGGGCAAGATCAAATAAATATCCATGGTACTTTCACTGTCAATCTGAAAGTGAAATGCAATTATTCCATTAAAATACTGAAAAAGGTCTCAAAACTGCATTTGTTTTGATATCTATATTTGAAAACCAATTGGTTTTTAATCATAGCATAAGTTTTAACATAAGTTATAAGAGCCACTAGCAGAGTTGCAGGTTGCAGACTCCGGTTTATTGTTTTATTGCAAATTGGGTCTTTATGGAAGAGTAGAAGAAGTTCTGTTTGCAGTTTTATTAGACCACATAGCAGTCACAGCAAACATGGAATAAGATGAGATCAAAATTTTACTTTCCAGTCTACAAGCATCATTTACCCGTAAAGACCATCCACAATGTAAAACTTGGTGTTGGCAGAATCATACTGTGGGGATTATGGAAGAACAGCTGTTAGAGGCAGCAGAAAACTTCAGACTGGGGTCTAACATTGCTGAGCAATTATGGAGAACAATTATGTTGCTGACATGCAAATGTATTCATGTGTTAGAACGGTCTAGTCAAAGTCCAGATCTAAATTCAATTGGGAACATGCAGCAACTTTAAAATTAAAGACCTCTGATTGCTCTCCAACCAATCTGTTGGAGTTTGAACCATTTTGCAAAGAGGCAATAGCAGACACTTTAATCTTTAGATTTGCAAGGCACTGCGTGTGATGTTTTGCTGTGTGGTTGTCAGTGAGTAAGCAAAGGGTCAGTGTTTACAGGAAAGCAGTCTACTTCAGGGTAGATTTTCCAGTGAACTAAACTTTTTACAAGAGAGTAAAATTACTCAACTTCATTTGAAAAAGAAGCTGCCCCGGTGTAAACAATTACACAACCTCAATCATCTGAACTAAATAAACACGTGGAGGGCTTGATAAACAGTTACACAATGCTGTGCAGATGTATGATCGCTCCCCACTCACTCTTTTCAGACCACACATAAAGACAGCAGAGGCCCTGTTGTCAGAGAGAAATTTATTATCAAATCAAAACCTCCACTGTCCCTTTTGCTCCTCCCTTCTGTTGTGTTTTCCATCAACCCACTTCTGTCATGTTTTCGCCCGCACCTTGGTAAAATGGGGAACTACGCCCCAGGCTTATAGTTCCAATTCATGAAAAAAGCAATTAATCAGACCCATAAATAAGAGTACAGCCAAGGAAGCGTCGTGAAAACGCACGCATTTTTTGCCTTCTTCTTTAAATTCCACCTCAAAACTTAAGAGGCTGAAAATTAGTTTGGTCTATGGATCAGTTAGGAATCTCTTTCAGACCTTCAGC